TGGAAAATTTCTAGATTCTTTATTTTGGGAACTTGCTGAAGCTATCATGGATTGCCTCTTGATGTGATTTGATATTGACTGTTGTCTCCGAGCCATTAATGAGTTATTATGTTTGCTTAATGTGTCCTAGCTTCTTGTTTTGTTTTGATATGCCCAAACAGGCTGCTCTTATGAGCTAGTTTGATTATTGGCACCTTGGAAGCTGTAATGTCCTGTCGCCTGGTGGTTAGATCTGTTACTAGGTATGTGAGCTCAGAAGTCAGCCCACTCCTCCTGTATAGATTCAGCTCAGGTATCCAGGTAGATAGCCACCAATGTGTGGTGTAGGCGCTCACTTACAGTCCTAGACAGGCATGGGTAATTGGTGTAGGCACAGGCATGTGGCTGCAGCAGTGGGACACACTCTAAGCAAGGCAGGGGGCTGATGGCCACCCCCAAGTGTCCAGGAGGAAGGCATGTCCCTGTTCCCTAGAGCTCGTAGGTAGATGGGTTTTGCAGCCAGACTAGGAGCACCTAATGCTCTTGGCTCTAAGGACTGGGGGGCACCTCTTACTCATGGGCCTCTATCGCAGGTGGCTATGCAGCATGGGTGGAGTCACCAGTCCTCAGGCCCCTGATGTGGGTAGGTGCTTAATGCGCAGAGCAGTGTCAAATGTCAAGACCTGCCACTTCACAGCTGAAACAGTTGAAGTTAGATTTCTGGTATATACCCTGTTGTACTGCAGTAATGAGGGCCTACGCTGCTGAGATGGGCCCACACAAGTCTCTGCAGGCGGAAAGGCACTCAAAGTCCGTAGATCCCTTATGCCTGTGCCTAGGCAAAGGAGCTGTGCCTACCCGGGGTTCCTGGCTTAGGGGAGCCAACAGTTTATTTTTCCAGTTTGTTGATTTGTTCACTCTCCAAGGCAGGGAGAATGGCTCCAGGCACGTGACAGATCCTACTTCCGGCCCAGGGGACTTGGCAATTGCTGAAGCTAGTCCGGGACCCAGTGTAGAGCAGGGAGTGGGGAGGTAAATGGGAGAGAGGTTTTTCCCTAAGGGGGTTGTTTTTGATCCTCGCGGTAGGCTGTATGCAAGTACTTATCTTTTGCCAACAAGGGCTGCTTCTCACTGGTTCTGGGCGGCCACGCAGACTCTCTGGTGCTGGGTCTCTCCCAGTGTAGAAAATGTGCCTCCAGAGCATGGCTGCTTGCCTGCCTCACCGCTCACCCACGAGCTGCTCAGGCCTGAAGGGCTCAGGCTCTTGCTGGGTCAGGTCTGGGTCAGGTCCTCACTGTTTCCCAACTGTCTCTCCCTTCCCCTGCCACTCTGTCCAGTTCCTCAACTCTGCCTTTGATGTTCAGGGCTCCCAGACTACCATATATAATCAAATCACTTGTTTTTTTGGGTCTTTGTTGTAAGAGGCTCCACTGGAAGCATCTGACTACTCCACCATCTTGGCCCCACCTCTCCTCATGAATCTTAACTTAAAACCTTACCAGAAAACATCAAGTACTGGGAAGGTACTTACCTGGTGTTCACAGTGTTTGCAGACCATATTACTAGTAAGTCTTCCGTGGAAAGGGTGTTGAGACTTCCAGTGACTGGACGTGGGGTGAGGTGACCCTGGAACACAAACGGTCTTTTGATATGCCACCTTTAGCCCTTTGGAGCCAACCTCAAAATTCACCTTTCTTTAGCCATGTGGTAGAAACTCCCTCGTTAGAAAAAAAGCTTCCTGAAAAGTAAACTGAAATAACTTTTTCCTTATTGACTTCCATCAAAAAAGACATTCCACTCCCTTTATAGGAGAATTATTACAGGTCTTTAAATGTGGTTTCTGTATAATGGGCACGGCCATATTTAAAAATGAAGTTGTGTTTAATAATATCTTCTTACAAACATTTGCTTCAAATGTTTGAGATGTAAAAGAAGCGTAGCACAAGTGAACATCTGATAAAGTGATGTAAACTGCTGAAAGAATCAGAATAAGCATGGTCTGAAAAACTGGGATTTTCTTTGGATGGGGGTTGGTAATATACACAGTGCAGTATGCTGGTTAGAACAGGGGCACCAGAGTCCAGTAGCCCTGGGCTCGGACCTGGCTCTGCTTCTTATTAACTGTGTGACCCAGGGAAGTCACTTAATCTCTGACAGCTTCAGTTTGCTGGAAAGGGGAATAATGACTATTCCATTATACCCAGTATCCTCAACTTCATGGAGTTTTTGTGAGGCTTAAATGAGATATTATACTGCCTGGCAGACAGTATGGTCTCAAAAAAATATTATCAATGTGTGCTTAAGCACTCCGCTGCTAACTGAAAGGTCAGAGGTTCAAACCCAACAGCCGCTCCACAGGAGAAGGATGTGGCAGTCTGCTTCCATAAAGATTTCAGCCTTGGAAACCCTATGGGGCAGTTCTACTCTGTCATATAGGGTCACTATGAGTGGAAAAAGGAGCCCTGGTAGTGCAGCGGTTAAATGCTTGGTTGCTAACCGAAAGTTTGGTGATTCAAACCCACCAGCCAACTCCATAGGAGAAAGATGTGGCAGTCTGCTTCCGTAAAGACTACAGCCTTGAAAACTCTACTCTGCCCTATATTGTGGCTATGAGTTGGATTCGCCTCGACAGCAATGGGTATTATTAATGCACAAAGAAATCAATGCATCAATTTTATTTTTTAAGCTAAAGTCTTAAGAAAACAATGATTTCTTTCTAAGGAGGACTGTGATCCTTTGCAGTAAAAGCTGGCCGGAAAGGGAATATTGAGGACACGACAGATTCGGCCTCTTAAATTCTTCATGGGATCAATTCAAGGAGGTAGAAAGAAAGCCCTTGTTTGAGGTACAAATAACTCTGTTTAAAGGGAACTGAGCCAGGCTAGGGTACGAGGGAACAATTCAAGATGGTTACCCAGGGCATAATTTAAAGCTGTCTCCCAAACACAACCTCCTCTGCAAGTACAGCACGTGTTAAAGCTAGACTGGATGTCACCAGGAAACAAAAAAATAAAAACAAGCAAATGATTGTCATATCTAAAAAGTACGCATCACATGTGTTACATTTCAAAGGAAAACAGCTACCTCTTGTGCGGCAGGTTATCTGTTTGGGGGTGATTTCTGACTGCTGCTGTAGGGGAAAAAAAAGAAAGACTGAGAACCCGACTGCAATTCCTTTATCACCTTCACCCCACCCTTAAACTTACAAGTTTCTGTGCAGATAGCACCACTCAAAAATCAACTTCTTATTAAAAATCCCATGTTTCTAAAGTAGTCTTCATTATCCTCTCTGGCTGGTAACCACGCATACTGCTTCGACAAATGCAGCTGAAACATATTTCCCCTTCTGGAACATCTCTCGCCCTTTGTTTTATCAACTCCCTACGCATTTCTACCGTCTCAGGGAAATGCGGACATGTTTAGTATTCCTATGGCTCCTTGTTCCCCTCGATTAGATGGGGGAAAAAATCATACATTCTTTCTTCTCAGAACCAACACAAATTGCAGCAATGGGTCATTTCAAAGCACCCTGACATCCCTCACCCTGACATCCCAACGTCACCAACCGCAAAGAATGTACCCTAACACCCTCCCCATCCTCACTCCCACTCCTTGTTGTTGTTGAATCCAACTTTTGATTTTAAAGTTGTGCAAAGATTATGCTTGGGTTTCTTGTACTATTAAATATGGACAAACTGCATCAAATCTACTGACAATCTTAAGGGCTTACCTCCAAAGAGTGCACATCAAACAGATGTGTGACCCGGGGCTGCCGGTCTCGCTCATCTTCCAACGACGAGGTAATGACGTGGAAGAGCTCATGAGCATCCTGTCAAAGGGCAGAGCGTTCTTCAGAAAGGGCGGGGCCGGGAGCATCAGGACCTCCCCACGTGAGGACCACCAGGCTAAAGTGGGAGGTGTTGCTCTCTACCATCAGGTCTAAAGAGTACGCATCTTCTGTGCTACATCTCAGTGGAAAATGACCACCTCTTGTGGGCAGGTTATTTGCTTGGCAGTGATTTCTGACTGCTGCTTCAGCTAAAGGGGGCACATTATGCTTTCTACCATTGCAAGGAGGAGGCTTGGTAGTGTCAATGCTAAGCATTCAGCTGCTAACTGAAAGACTGGCAGTTCAAATCCACCCAGCAGTGACTGGATGTGGAATACAAACTGCTGCCTTTATCACCTCACCCGTTCCCTGACAAAAAGGAGCCTTCTTACTTTAAAGCTGCGTTCCCTTTGGAGCCAACCTCAAACCTCCCTTTTCAGCATGTGGTGGAAACCCCCTTTTTTGAAAAAAATGTTCCTGAAAAGTAAACTGAAATAGCTTTCTTCATTGACTTCTATCAAAAAACGTATCTTCTCCTTTGGAGGAAAGATCTGGAGATCTGCTCCTGTAAAGATTCCTTCCCACCTCCACCGAAAAAAAACCAAATGAAGCCACTTCCAAAGTCCACCTTTTAGCCAAAGATTAGACAAGCCTATAAGACGAACAATAACACAGCTGAGGAACGTGCTTCTTAGTTCAATGAAGTATACGAGACCAACTGGGCAACACCTGCCCCAAAACAAAAAGGCGAATGCAGGAAGGGACAGGAAAACCGGATGAACGGACACGGAGAACCCAGGAAGGGAAAAGGGAACGGGGAGAGTGCTGACACTATGCGGGGACTGCAACCAATGTCACAGAACAATTTGTGTATACATTTTTGAATGAAAAACTAATTTGCTGTGAACTTTCACCTAAAACACAATAAAATATAATGGGTTAAAACAAACAAACAAACCTGCTGCCATCGAGTTGACTCCAACTTATAGTGGATTACAGCCTAGAAAACCCTATGGGGCAGTTCTACCGTCACATGGGGTCACTAAGAGACAAAAATTGACTCGATGGTACTTAACACCACCACCACCACCAATGCAAGGCTCAGCTCATTAAACAGAAACAAGTACATCCTAGACGTCTTCACAAATAAAGACCCTCAACTGAGAGGCCCAAGAGGAGGGTGAAGGAAAGAAAGCTGGGGCCAGCTGTCTCTCAGCCTGTTTTAACTTTACTAAGACGGCCCTAACCTCCATCCCCCGACCCAAACAGGACAACTCTTTAAGGATCAATTCAAACCCCCCTCTCCCAAAACGTCAAAAGTCATCCCTCAATCCTCCGGGGCAGACAAGCTCTCCCTCCCCTGAATGCTCCAAGCGCTGATGCTACTCCCTAGTATACTGCAAACCTGACTGCTTTTCAGCGACCAGAGTGGCCATTTTCAAACTTAAATCAGATCAAACCAGGCCCCTGTTCAAAGCCCTCTGATGGCCTTCAACCGCACACAGAACTAACACCAGACTACTGCGATGGCCTCCCAGGCCATATCATCTGCTCCCCGCCACACTCTGAGACCCCTCTCCTCCACTCTACTGGGCCACGCAGGCCTCCGCGCTGTTCTCCAAACACTGCATCCTTACAGCCACAAGGTGCTTGTCTGGCTTCTTCCGTGGTCTGGAACACTGCAACCAGACCTCAAAGCTCAGCTGCAGTCTCCCCTCTCCAGCAGAGACTTCTGTCTAAAGTCGGCGGCTCCCCGTTGGTTCTCTCCTCATCCTCAGCCCCTGGCCCTCGCGCTTCATCACAGGATCCCGTTTTATTTTCTTGTCAGCATGCCTTGAAATGACCTTGCTTATTGTCTGTCTCCACCCCCGCCCCCCGCCAATAAAATGCAAGCTCCATGAGAGCAGGAACCCTGCGAGTTATGTTTGGCGCTGCCACCCTAGTCGGTGCCCTTGACAGGCCCTGCCTATGGCGGCCATCGATAAAGATTCATTGCGTATATAAATGAATCTCCTCCTGGGCTTTGCATTGCAGTTAGCAAGAGTACAGCTGAGATTCAAAGATGATAAGATGAGGCTCTTCTCTTCAGAGGACACACAAGCCAGGGGTAGAGGTGGCAGCTTAGCTATTATCCATCAGCACCAGTGCCACGGCCCTGCTCTGACCAATGAGCTGGGGAGCCGGGGAGGACCCACTCTTCCTGGGAGGCCCAGGAGCCTTCGCTGATAAGGGACAGAAATCCTAAGTCTAGTGGTGACCTTCTCTGTCACAGTCAGCTGTGTAACTACTTGGCCTTGAGAAAAGGAACAGTATTATAGAAGAGGGTGGAGCTTAAGAGTGGGCTTTAGGGCCAGACTAGCTCAAATCCTGGTTCTACCACTTAAGAGGCTGTGTGACTTTGGGCAAGTCACTTCACTTCTCTGAGCCTCAGTGTTCTCGTCTGTAAAACAGGGATAATAACAGTTAACTCCTTAGAGGGTTTGGGGGATTAAATCAGGTAAGTTGTGTAATGCAAGCAATTAACCAATGCATTCCTCCATAGCTCTAGCATCCAGCTTTGGACATGGAAAAGTGGCTGACAGACAGTGAGTCAGCTGTTGATTGACTAGATCATTAATAACAGATGTGGACAAGGCCCCACGCCACATACTCTGAGGCCTTCAAAGAGAGAAAGAGGCCAGCAGACAGACACACTCTTCCCTCCTTGCTGCATGCGCTGCAGCACCATGCGGCTCAGTAACTGTTGTGGGCTGAAGGGGATGGAAATATTCCCACAGAGAGCTAGGACTTAAGTGAGCCCTTGACGAATGGATGGGACTTAGGAAAGTTAGCCGACATCCGTGGGGACTAAATCTCCGTCACTCTTTCAGTTTAGTGAAACATAAAATGCAGCTAAATAGTTCCAGTTACCAGAAGAGGATTAAAAAAATACTTCCTAGATGGAAAAACATTTCAACATACAATGGATTAATCAAGATGTGTAACGACTGCCACTGAGTGGACTCTGACTCACGGCAGCCCCATGTGTGTGTCAGAGTAGAACTGTGCTCTATCGGGTTTTCAATGGCTGGTTTTTTGTAAGTAGATTGCCGGGCCTTTCTTCCGACATGCCTCTGGGTGGACTCGAACCTCCAACCTTTTGGTTAGCAGTCGAGCATGTTAACTGCTTGCACCACCAAGGGATAATCAAGAAGCATAGCATAGATGAAAGCAGAAACAAGACAACTTTAAAAATTGAAGGCAGGAAATAAGGCTACCAGACCTCACTTTTAAGTATTTTTAAAATGCCTCTCGCTTCAGCCTCACAGTTTGGGGCTACCTCTGGCTTTTCTAGTCCAGTTTCTGGAAGGTAGAGGCAGAATAAGCTGACACAAAGCCAGACGGGGCCATCTTGGAAATGTGGCCAGGAGAATGTAACATATGCCACTGGAAGCCAAATATTTTTGTTCCTAGAACTTCACTCAGCCTCTGCCTCAGACTTGAGGTGGTAACAGCGGCCTGGGGAGAAGGAAGGTAGTAAAGTTCCATTCGGGCAGTGAAGGTGTAGTTGTGGAAAAGGGGGCTGGAACAAGGCCCTGGGGTTGCCTTTGACATCTGCTCCTAGTTTGAAGCCACTGTAAGCCAGCCTCTGAAGCACTGATTTTTAAAAAATGAGGATATGGTCCAAAAAGGGTCTTACCTGGACCTCTGAGCCTCCAGGGTGAAGCCACTTGCTACTCTCTAAAGGACCCAGGTATCCCTACCATCCACTGAAGTATAAAGTCGTTCAAGAACTAACATAATCTGTGCCCTTTGGTAGCTGTGGATGTCCTATCCTGTTAACCTTCCATCCAACCCACTGCCACTAAGTCGATTCCGACTCATAGCGACCCTGTAGGACAGAGTAGAACTGCCCCATATGGTTTCCAAAGCTGTAATCTTTATGGAAGCAGATTGCCACATCTTCCTCCCATGGAGCAGCTCGTGGGTTCAAACTGCTGACCTTTTGGTTGGCAGCTGAACATTTCTTTTTTTTATTGTTGTAGTTTAAGTGAAAGTTTACAATTCAAGTTAGTCTCTCATACAAAAATTTATACATACGTTATGTGGCCCTAATTGTTCTCCCCATACTGTGACAGCACACTCCTCCTTTCCACCCCTGATTTCCTGTGTCCATTCAACCAGCTCCTGACCCTCTCTGCCTTCTCATCTCACCTCCAGACAGAAGCTGCCCATTTAGTCTCATGTATCTACTTGAGCTAAGGAGCACTCTCTTCACAAGTATCATTTTATGTCCCACAGTCCAGTCCAATCTCTGTCAGAAGAGTTGGCCTCGGGAACTGTTTTAGTTCTGGACTGATGGAGAGTCCGGGGGGCCATGCTTTCTGGGGTTCCTCCAATCTCAGTCAGCCCATTAAGTCTGGTCTTTTTACTAGAATTTGGGTTCTGCATCCTACCCTTTCCCCACTCCATCAGGGACTCTCTGTTGTGTTCCCTGTCAGGGCGGTGACTGGTGGTAGCTGGGCACCATCCAGTTCTTCTGGTCTCAGGCTGATGAAGTCTCTGGTCTATGTGGCCTTTTCTGTCTCTTGGGCTAATGCTTTCCTTGTGTCTTTGGTGTTCTTCATTCTCCTTTACTCCAGGTGGTTGGGACCAACTGATGCATCTTAGATGGCTGCTTGTGAGCTTTTAAGACCCCAGATGCTGCTCACCAAAGTAGGATGCAGAACATTTTCTTAATAAACTTTGTTATGCCAGTTGACCTAGATGTCCCCTGAAAGCATGATCCCCAGACCCCCGCCCCAGCTACTCTGTCCCTCAAAGTATTTGATTGTATTCAGGAAACTTCTTAGCTTAGTTTAGTCCTGTTGTGGGCAGTCGAACACTTTAACCACTGTGCCACCAGGGCTGCTTAACCATCCATCCATCGGGTGAAAAAGAGCTGCATGTCCCCTCTGATCATGAGAGCAGGAACAAAGTTAGTGCTCTGGGCCCAGAACAACATGGCGATGTAAAACGCCACAGAAGTGTTCATGATGCAGCAATGCAGCTGCTTTTCAACCTTCATTGCAAGCTCACGCCCTCCCCACCCCCAGTCACTAGTGGAAAGCGTCCTCCAAACCAAACCTGTTCAGAATGTTGTGTTCACCTGTTCTTCAAATGAAGAGATCTGCCATCTGTACATTCGTAAGACATCCAACAAGCAGCTTGCATCCAAGACCTCGTCATCAGTAACTTCCTGGCAGGACAAAGCTGGAAACAGTAAAGGTACGACGATTATTAAATTCACCACCATAACAGCGTAACCAGAAAACCTACACGGCACAACATGGCCAAGTTAACTAAAAATGTGTTAAGAATCGTAAAATTCACCTTGTAATTACATTTCTTTTGTCATTCTTCTTTGTAGCCTTACCCAGTCAATGCCTAAGAAACTCAGAAACCACTATTAGGCACTTGATGTTGGTTGAATGAATGTTATTTAGGCTGTAGTATTTAAATGAAGTAACTGATTTTCTGATATCTGAACATATATCATCAATATAAATTTATTGTTGCAAGATTCTTATGGAGTAAAATTATTTTAAACCACAACTCTCGGGTTGGGAGGATCCTTAAACATTCATCTAGTCTAACCTCACATTCAGTGCTTAGCTCATCTGCACAGTATTTTTTCCATGGTCATAAAGCTTGTATTTGTTCGCATTCTTGTTTCTGGTTATCACAGCAAAGCATCAAGCTACATGTGGTGGCCTGAGAGGGTCTGCTGAGTGGTTTAGTTTTCAACTGTAAGTAGAATCAAGTCAAATAGGCAAAAATACAAGTTCGATGGGCTTAGGGATTTATATGATAAGTATCTAGACCAGGGGTCGGCAAACCAGTTCTGTAAAGGGTGAGGTAGGAAATATTTTAGGCTTTCTGGGCTATGTATCCTCTGTTGCAATTATCCATCTCCGCTGTTGCAGTGCAAAAGCAGCCATAGGCAATACTTAAATGAATGGGTGTGGCTGTGTTCCAATAAAACTTTACTGGCAAAACAGGCAGTGGGCCGGATTTGGCCTGTGGGCCAAAGTTTGCTGACTCCTGATCTGGACCATCCCACTTCCCATAGGGTATTACAATGGACCAGTACCACTAGTGTAGGAGATAAAAATATAGGGGATGCCATCTTGTTCAGTTTCTAGGAGCTCCATGACTCACAAGGTAAACTAGGCCACGCTGTTTCTTTTCTTTTATTTGCAGTCCGTGGACTTGAGAGATTCCTTTAAATGGTTCAGGCTTTGACTCTGGAGATTCCGAACACCGATCCTCCACCCCCACCCCAGTCTGAGCCTAGTCAGTAACTCTGGATCCTGACTGTGGAGAAGCAACCAAAGTCCTGCGGCTCACCTTAACACTGTGTATACACACTGCGATCTGACCTTTAACCCCAGGACAAAGGGTGCAGAGCTGGGAAAGGGATTGTATCTTCCTTCTTCCTCTCACATTCCTTGTGTTACCTCTTTCCCTTCCAAGAACAATCTGAATGCTCCCTTTAACCCAATTTTGCCTAAAATGCTGGGGGGGGGGCAATTTGGCAAAGTCTACTAATATTTTCATATCCTACTGTCTTAGGCTGAGTTCTCTAGAGAAACAAAACCAGTAAAGTGTATAAATACATATATATACACACAGATTTATATCAAGGAAATGGCTCACGCAATTGTAGAGACTGGAAAGTCCCAAGTCCATGGGTCAGGCTGGAGGTTTTTCCTGACTCATGTAGCTGCAGGGGCTGGTGAACCCAAGATCAGCAAGCCAGACAGCAGGCCTCTGGCTCACAGGCTGTTGTGAGCAAATCCCAAGATCAGCAGGTAAGCTGATAGCTCAAGTCCCAAGAACCAGAGGTCAGATGAAGAGGAGCCAGCTACAGGATCCAGAGTGAGCAAGGGCCAGTGAACTTTGCCAGAAAGTCCACCTATATTGGATGCAAGCCACACCCCCAAGGAAACTCCCTTTCAACTGACTGGCCGCTCATAACAGATCTCATCATGGAGGTGATTACATTATATCAGATCTCATTATGGAGGTGATTACATCATTGCATAGCTGCCAAACTACATTACAACTGTCAAACTACTGAGAATCATGACCCAGCCAAGCTGACATACAACTTTAATGATGACAGTCTACCCCTTGTCAACTTGGCACCTGTACACATTTCTAAATAAAGACAATTATAAAGTCATACTTGTGCCTAACATGATATGACTAAAATGTGTATAACCGAAAATGTGAAAATGCACTAACCCTGTTTACATCTTTTATTTTATAAGTGAGGAAAACAAAAATATTTGATGCAGGCATACAAGTAAGAAATACTTGTAACAATTACAGTCCTTGTTTCTGCAACTGGTCATGTGGTTGTAGCTGGTATTTAGAACTACCTTCTTCCACCACCCATTCCGTATTCCCTTTACCCTCAGCAAGCACCTCAGCTAATTGTGGTTCTTTGCCTGGTGGGGTGACCCAAATCCTCATTTGTAAAGTGTCTAGGCCATTAGTAGTCATGTTGGAATTGGGTTCCTCTTGGTAATCAGGATCAATCACACCAGCCAATACAGTAACCCTCTTCTTTGCCTGTTGATCCAGAGGCATAAGGAGCCTGAGGTGGCCAGGTAGCATCCTTAACTTCCAGTTCAATGGAATCAGTGTTGTGTCTCCTGGTGGGGGCATTCCTGCCTTTGGAACTAAGACCTCTAGACCCACAGAGCGTAAGGTCGTGGAGACAGGAAGCAAAAAATTTTGTGAGTGGGTCACAAGGGGTGATAGTGTGTCTTAGTTATCTAGTGCTGTTGTAACAGAAGTACCCCAGGTGGATGGCCTTATCAAACAGAGGTTTACTCTCTTACAGTCTAGTAGGCTAGAAGTCCAAATTCAGGGTGCAGCTCCAGGGGAAGGCTTTCTTTCTGTCGGATCTATAGTAAAGTCCTTGTCATCAATCTTCCCTTGGTCTAGGAGCTTCTCCACACAGGAATCCCAGGCCCAAAGGGCGTGCTCTGCTCCCGAGGCTGCTTTCTTGGTGGTATGAGGTCCCCTTGTCTCTCTGTTCACTTCTCTCTTTTATATCTTAAAACAGATTGGCTTAAGACACAACCTAATCTTGTAGATTCAGTCCTGCCTCATGAATATAACTGCTGCTCATCCTATATCATTAACATCATAGAGGTAGGATTTACAACACATAAGCAAATTATATTAGATGACAAAATGGTAGACAATCACACAATACTGGGAATCGTGGACTAACCAAGTTGACAGATATTTTTGGAGGACACAATTTAATCCGGAACACAGTGAGTGGTGCCACTCCCATTTCTACCCCTTGACTCCTGGACCCATGGGTCCTGGCTATGGATGCTGGTTTAGAGTATATAAAGCCTCTTGGAGAACACTGCCCTGACCCTGCAAGGTATCACCACCTAGCTGGCACCATAATTATGTCTTTAGAAGGCCTTTCCATTGTTCTATCTAGCTAGCTGCTTCAGGATGATGGGGAATATGGTAAGACCAGTGAATTCTATGAGCATGGGCCCACTGCCACACTGCATTTGCTGCAAAGTGAGCCCCTCAATCCCAGGCAATGCTGTATGGGATACAATGACGGTGGATAAAGCATCCTATTAAGTCCATGGATGGTATTTTTGGCAGAAGTACTGCATGCAGGGAAGGCAAATCCATACCCAGAGTAAGTGTCTATTCCAGTATTCCAGTAAAAACAAAACACTGCCCTTTCCATGATGGAAGTGGTCCAATGTAATTAACCTGCTACCAGGTTGCCAGCTGATCACCTTGAGGAATGGTGCCATATTAGGGACTCAGTGCTGGTCTCTGCTGCTGGCAGATTGGGCACTCAGCAGTGGCTGTAGCCAAGGCAGCCTTGGTGCGTGGAAGTCCACGTTGCTGAGACCATGCATAACCTCTATCCCTACCATCATGGCCACTTTGTTCATGAGCCCATTGGGCAATGACAGGAGTGGCTAGGGAAAGAGAATGACTGATTTCCACAGAATGCATCATCCTATCAACTTGACTGTTAAAATCCTCCTCCGCTGAGGTCACCCTTCGGTTAGTATTCACATGAGACACAAGTATCTTCACTTCTTTGGCCCATTCAGAGAGGTCTATCCACATACCTCTTTCTCATCTTCCTTGTCATCAATTTTCCAATCATTTTCCTTCCAAGTCCCTGACCATCCAACCAAACCACTGGCCACAGCCTATGAATCAGTATACAATCGCACATATGGCCATTTCTCCTTCCAAGAAAAGTGAACAACCAGGCGCGCTGCTGGAAGTTCTGCCCATTGGGAGGATTTCCCTTCACCACTGTCCTTCAGGGAGGTCCCAGAAAGGGGCTGCAGTGCTGCCACTGTCCACTTTCGAGTGCCTACATATCGCACAGAACCATCCACCATCTGTAAACCAGGCACGAGTTTTTCTCTTCCTCAGTCAACTGATCATAAGGAACTCCCCATGAGGCGGTAAGTGCAGACTGGGAGAGGGTAGATAATGTGACAGGAGTGGAGACCATGAGCATTTGGGCCTCTTCCTCATGCAACTTACTTGTGCCTTCAGGTCCTGCTCGGGCCTGATCTCATATATACTACTTCCATTTAATGATGGAGTGCTGCTATGCACGCCCAACTTTATGACTCTGTGGGTCAGACAACACCCAGTTCATGACTGGCAGCTCAGTCCGCATAGTGACTTGGTGTCCCATGGTTAAGCATTCAGTCTCTACTAAGGCCCAGTAACAAGCTAAAAGCTGTTTCTCAAAAGGATAGTAAGTTATCTGCAGAGGATGGCAGGGCTTTGGTCCAAAATTCTAAGGGTCTGTGCTGTGATTCACCAATACAGGCCTGCCAAAGACTCCAAACAGCATCTCTATCTGTCACTGACATTTCAAGCATCATTCGATCAGCCGGATCATATGGCTCAAGTGGCAGAGTGGCTTGCACGGCAGCCTGAACCTGTTCCAGAGCCTTCTCTTGTTCTGGGTTCTCTAGAGAAGCAAAACCTGTGAAGCGTATAAATATATATATATATAGAGAGAGAGAGACAGAGACAGAGAGAGACTTGTTTCAAAGAAATGGTTCATGTTGTTGAGGCTGGAAAAGTCCCAAGTCTGTAAGTTAGGCTGGAGGCTTTTCCTGACTCACGTAGCCACAGGGCTGGTGAACCCAAGATTGGCAGCTCAGACAGCAGGCCTCTGGCTCACAAGTTGTGGAGGCTGACAAATCCTAAGGTCGGCAGGTAAACTGCTAGCTCAAGTCTCAAGAAAGGAGGTCAGAAGAACAGGAGCCAGCTGCAGGATCTAGAGTGAGCGAAAGCCAACAAACTTTGCCAGAAAGTCCACCTATATTGGATGTATGTCACATCCCCAAGGAAACTTCTTTAACTGATTGGCTGTTCATAACAGATCTCATTATGGGGGTGATTACATTATTACATAGTTACCAACCGTCAAACCATTGAGAATCATGGCCCAGCCGAGCTGACACGCAACTTGAACCATGACACCTACAATCCAGCAATTTTTCTCAGGATCTATCCTACAGAACAAATATTGGTGGTTCAGTGGTAGAATTCTTGCCTTCCATGCGGGAGACTCAGGTTCAATTCCTGGCCAATGCACTTCATGTGCCACTACCCATCTGTGAGTGGCTGACTGCATGTTGCTATGATGCTGAACAGTTTTCAGTGGAACTTCCAGACAAAGGCAGACTAGGAAGAAAGGCCTGGCAATCTACTTGTAAAAAGCAGCCAATGAAAATCCTATGGATCACAATGGTCTGATCCACAACTGATCATGGGGACAGTGCAGGACTGGGCAGCATTTCATTCTGTTGTGCACTGAGTTGCCATGAGTCGGGGGGCTGATATGGCAGCTAACAATACCCTAGAGAAACAGGTACACATGTGCATGAGGTGGCATGTACAAGGTTGCTCACTGTCCCTGTTTATCATGACGAGAAACTAAGAGCAAACAGCTAAACAAACTGTGGTATCTATTATGGATTCCATGCAACTATAAAATGAATGAGATCGAGCTCCATGTACGGAATGGACATTTCTTTAATGCATATTATGTTATCTGGTTATGAGAAAACACAAAATAATACTATATAATTTCCAGGTGGCACAGTGACTAAGAGGTCGGCTGCTAACCAAAAGGTCAGCAGCTCGAATCCACCAGCCGCTTCTTGGAAACCCTATGGGGCAGTTCTACCCTGTCCTATAGGGTTGCTAGGAGTCGGAATTGACTTGATGGCAATAGGTTTGGTTTTTGGTTATGGGTACACAGAAACGTATTTATTTAATTTTTAAAAACAATTTTTTTATTGTACTTTAGATGAAGGTTTACAGAACAAATAGTTTCTCATTAAACAGTATACATAGTTTTATGACATTGGTTAACAACCCCATAACATGTCAACACTCTCCCTTCTTGACCCTGGGTTCCCTATTACCAGCAGAAATGTATTTAAATGCACAGAAAACAGTCTGGAAGGATACACTCAGATCTTACTTTTGGGAAGGAAGGACAGGAACAGGATTGGGGAAGTGATAAAGGGGACTTTAGCCTTATCTGCAATGTTCGAAGTTTTTACAAGGAGAATGTATTCGTGTATTACTTGTGTCATTAAAAATGACTTCTAAAAGAAGACCAAAATAAAAGACACTGAACAAAGTTTATTAGTAGTTTCCAAGGGCTGGAGGGAGGAGGGAAGGGGGAGTCACTGTTTAGGAAGTACTGAGCTTCTATCTACGGTGCCGGAAAATCTGGCAATGCATACTGGTGATGGTTCAACAACACCATTAATGTAATTTGTGTCACTGAACTGTGAAAAATGCTAAACTGACAAATGTTGTGTTATATATATATTTTTACAACAATTAAAAAAGTTACTAACAAGGTTAAAAAAAAAAAAAAAAAAAAAAAAAGGACACTGAGGAGCAGAAGCAGAGAAGAGAGCATATATTTAAGTGTGGCTGGCCAGGATGGTCCTGTTCCCAGCCCTGGGTCACACATGTGAGAAGTAAGACGGAAGGGATGTGGTCACGGCTCAGACAACAACTAAGCCTGATTCAGAACACCTTAGGCTGACATTTCAGCTCTTCACAGTCTTTGGAATGCTATACTTTTCTCCACAGGATAGTAAAAGAAATTATCCTCACATCGCCTCTTAAACAGAAGAACAGTACTTGCTTCATAAAGATTTCTTGGGTCGAGCAGAGATCCTATGGGAACATACCTCAGTGAAGTAATTATTTAGCGGGGTTTTTTTAATTCTTTTTTTTTTTTTTCTGTGAGAGTAATACATGCTTATTGTTGAAAGTTTTACAAGTTCAGAAAAGTATTGTTTTGAGCAACCCCAAACTGCCACTGCTAATATTTTGGCTTTTTTTCTCTCTAGCCTTTTATGTTTGGAAGTTCTGGTCATGAAGTCAAATTATATATTTTGTATCCTGTGCTTTTTAACGTAATATAGCCTATGCCCTTTTCCAAATTTAAAAAACACTTCATGAACATGATTCTTAATGGCTATGTAGTATTGTTATTTCATTAAAAAAAAAGAAGAAACATTATGTAATTTCTTAATTTATGAAGAAATTTATGCTTAACCATTCTACTGTAAGACAACTACATTCCTTTTTTTCTCCTTATAACTAGGTGTTGGAGATATTTGTGCATTTATTAGGATTTCCCAAATTGTGTTCTGTGAAATGTCTTCCAGATGTTAACAGTTATTACAAAACCAAAAAGACCAATCTACAGTCAAAACAGCTTAAAAATAAAGTTGGGTTCACTTGGTGTGTGTTCTGCCATGTGTGTTCTCAACAACAACAAAAAATAAAATAAATTATAATAAATAATCAAGTTAGATAAGTGACTTCTTAAAACCCTTACCAAACCAATATACAGTGTGATTCTCCAAGCTGGGGACAGTGGTCGGCCATTCCCGAACTTGTTTTTAGAACTTCATTTTCCAGGCTGGTGTCACAGTCCACATTTCTGACTATTTCCATAGATATAATATATAATGACCATTTTGCAAGCTACTGCTGTGTAGCCAGGATTGTGGATTTGTTTTTTAATCTTGCCTAACAGGTAAAACATGGTACCTCCAAAACCAAACCAAACCTGTTGCCATAGAGTCGATTCTGACTCATAGCGACCCTATAGGACAGAGTAGAACCGCCCCATAGAGTTTCCAAGGAGCGGCTGGTGAATTCGAACTGCCGGATTTTGGTTAGCTGCCAAGCTCTTAACCACTGTGCCACCAGGGCTCCCATGATACCTCACTATTGTTTAATTGATATTTCTTTGATGATGATCATGTTGAGCATTTGAGTGTTTGTTAGCAATTTGTATTACTTCTTTTGTGAAATTACCTTACTTCCTAGACTAAGATGCATTTTTTTTTCTTTAGTGTTTTTGAAATAAGAGTTCTTGCAATCAAAGTGTTTATGTGGCAGTCAGGTTTTTTCCTTTCCTAAAAAGCTATTATTGAAACTAGTAACTTTTAAAAATAATGGTTACATCTTTGATTTAAACAAACAAACAAAACCTGTTTGTATCTACTGGCTCCTCCTGTTTTTGTCTATAAGATCTATATGATCTTTTTTGACATTAAGGCTGTTAACCCTTTGCCTGCCATCTGGGCTTCTCTGAAAATACACACAATCCCCTTTAAATTCCCAACTCGATACCTTTCAGGAGGTGCAGCAGTGTTAAGGATAAATACTGGTGTGGGGAGGGCTCCTTCTGATCCCGGGTGTACTGGCTTGTAAACTCTTCCAGCCACTTGATGAAAGCAGGGCAGGCAGACAAGCCTTGCAGCAGGGAGTTCATGAAGCATGTGTTCCCTAAGTTGACAAGGCCAGGAACAAGCCCTAAAAAAGCAAAGCGAGGGGAAGAAGAGAAAAGCACATTATACTGGGCCAGCTCTCTTCAGAAACCACAGTTGTGCAAGGTGGCCTTGAATTTGGACTTCTAATCTAAGAGGGTCTTTTAATCCAGAGATCTGGGGACAAGGGCTCAGCCCATGCCGAGGCCTAGCCCTAGTACTGCCTCCTTGAGGAGACTGCATGCAACAGAAGGGTCTCCATCCTATGTTACTTTTTAAACCCATGGCAGTGTCTGGCACAGCCTGGTTCATGTTCAGTGTACAAAGACACTTAGTAACCATCTCCCCTCTCTCTTCATTCTCTCTTGCTCTTGCTCTCTCTCTCTACTTGAATAAGAAAGCAGTAGCTCTCAGAACAGAAGAAAACAATTGTTCTGTTGTCACTCCCCCAGAACAATAACTTTGTTTTTATCTTAACAATGAGTGGGAAAGATACCACTATACATAACAATTCTCATCAGTCTTTCTGCAAGGGGATCAGCAAAATCGACATACTTCCCGATTCTGCTGAAATTTTTTTAAACACCTTTTTATTATGAGAGTTCTCAAAAACATGCACAAAAGAAGAGAATTACATAAAAAATCCAACTGTAACCATCCCTAGATTTAACGATGATCAACATTTTACCACATTTGCTTCTCTATCCCTTCTTTCTTTCTTTTCTGGCTGAATTTTAATCAACGTAAGTACAGCAACATTTATTTCAAAGAGGAGCATTTTTTAAAACAAGGAAACAGAATTTTTGATTAATGAAGACATGCACTTGAAACTTTTACTAGTGACTAGCAGCTAGCCAGGGAGCCCTGGTGGAGCAATGGTTAAGAGCTCCGGTGCTAACTGAAAGGTTGGTGGTTCAAACCCACCCAGTGGCTCTGAGAGAGAAAGACCCGGGGATCTGCTTCCATAAAGATTACAGCGTAGAAAACCCCCATGGGGCAGTTCTACTGTGTCACATGGGGTCGATATGAGTTGAAAATCAACTTGACAGCACACAACAAAAACAAGCAGCTAGCCGGCAAAACCACAAATGCATCACATAATTATTAAGTTGTACTAACGAAAAATATAACTGCCATCCTGAAGAGAACACTTAATTAAACCACTTGAAATTCTTTATTACAGAGCATGCTCGAAACTCAAGTTGTGAGCGGAGTGAGCATATAAATCTTTTTACTGCAGGGTGTAAAATAATGGGTCATTAAAATTAACTTCTGGTTAAAAGAAAGTACTGTTTCAAAAACAGAGATCCTTGGTTTAAAGACACAAGAGAACAAAAAATGAACTGCTCCCTGTTTTTTGTATTGTTTTTGGATCAGGTGCTAATAGGGGGTTGGGTCCAACCTACAGAAGACGATGTAATGGCCTCATTCTCTTACCTTTTCTACGTTTCTTTCTTTCTGTAATGGGACCCCAAATAACATATATTCCTGCTGCAAGTGCAGCAGCAATACCACCGACAACTCCCCAGTTCTTCATGACTTTGTATCTAAAAAAGAAAGTAAGTTTACTGTCTTCCCCCAACACAAGGAGGTTAAGCACTCAGCTGCTAACCAAAAGGTCAGTGGTTCTGACCCACCAGCCGCTCCGTGGGAGAAAGATGTGGCAGTCTGCTTCTGTAAAGATTATAGCCTTTGAAACCCTACGGGCAGTTCTACTCTGTCCTACAGGGTCACTATGAGTCAGAATCGACTTGACAGCACACAACTCCAACCATCTTTAAGGAAGGTGCTGCTGAGTGGGTTTGAACCACCAACCTTTAGATTCACAGTTGAGCGTAAACTGTTTGTGCCACTCAGGCACTATATATATATACACACACAGGTACACGGTAATAACATTTAGTCAAAATAACCCACCACTCACCGAATACCTAACTTTCAAGTTTCAGTAATAATAAGTAATAGGATTGTGTCTTGAAAATCAGCATGTTTAGACATTACAATTGAAAACCTAAGTCAGAGCACAACCTTCCGACAGCTCCATCTCACTCAGAGGAAAAGCCTCTCCACTGCTCCAACCTCACTGGTCACCACAACAAACACGCTCTTGCCCCAGGGCCTTTGCACTGGCCGCTCCTCTGGTTGGAATGCTCTTCCCCCAGATCTTTGCTTGACTCACTCCCTCACCTCCTTTACTTCTCAAGGAGGCCTACCTTGAACACAAGAAGCCCTGGTGGAGCAATGGTTAAGGGCTTGGCTGCTAACCGAAAGTTCCACAGTTTGAACCCACCAGCGACTCTGCAGGAGAAAGACCTGGTGATCTGTTCCGGTAAAGATCACAGCCTAGCAAACTCTATGGGGCAGTCCTATAGGGTCACTATGAGTCAGAACCAACTCGACGGCACACAACAACAACCCTGAGCACACTATTTGAACCTGCACTCCTGGTTCCTTCTACCTGCGTCTACTTTTCCCTTTTACCAGAGCACTTACCACCTTCTAACATAAAATTCACTTATTCACTATGTTTGTTGTCTCTCTCCCTCAACTAGAAGGTAAAGTCCCCAAAGGCAGGGAACTTTGTTTTACTCACTGACATATCCTCAGTGTCTAGACTGTCCCTGGCTCATAGTAGGTTCTCACTAATATTTACTGAATGATTGAATATTTGGCAAAGGATAGAGAAATAGATTTCCCTTTTAGAATATTAAATGGGCAGGGGCCCACAAAATAGTATAAAAGATATTCTAAATATTTATAAAATCAAACACTTCTTAATTTCAGGCTTGACTTGGACACTGAAGTTATTCTTTTACTACAAATTAAGACATTTCGCCAGCAATTTAAAACACTTCTTATACAAAGTTATGTATTTCCACCTAACAAGGTAAATCATATATGTGTCTATTCATGTGTAACATACATTCTGTATAATGTCTGGTATATATGTATACTTGCGTGTGATAATCTTACCCAATGTTTAGATAATTTGAATCTTGTATTGATCTCAGTTCAGTACACATTAACTCAGTGAACAGTTACTGGCGCTAATAGTGACTCGGTCTTACAACAACCAGCATTTTCCTAGTGTTGTGGCTCAGAAATGAATTTCAAAGCTTTCTTCTTCCAAGACAGCCAACAGAATGTACACAGAGCTTGGTTAAGAAAGCGGAATAACATTAATCTGGTTCAAATCCTGGCTTTGCTACTTCCTAGGACATCATTTCACCTTCTAAACCATGGCTTCATCATCTATACAATGAAGACAATCGTGAGCCCTACCTCACAGGGTTGTTGTGAGGACTCAGTAAGTATTAATGCATCGGCTAGAAGTCCCTGGGTGGCACAAACGGTTAAGTGCACAACTAGTAGCTGAAAGGTTGGTGGTTCGAACCCATCCAGAGGTGCCTTGGAAGACAGGCCTGGCAATCTGCTTCCAAAAGGTCACAGCCTTGAAAACCCTATGGGACACTGTTCTACTCTGCACACGTGGGGTCGCTATGAGTCAGAATCAACTCAATGGCACCTAACAACAACAATGCAAAGGGCATACAGTAAGAGCTTAATAAACGTTAGCCACTACTATTAAGTATTACACCCACTCCTCACTTACAGCTATCTCGTTATCCAACATTTCGCATTTACAACAGTAAAAAAATCTACTCTCCAACTACTTTGTGCATTAACAACATATGTCTGGTAGTAACAAACACCGAGGTGCAAGGAGAGAGTAACACTGGCTGTGATGGTTAAGGTTATGTGTCAACTTGGCTGGGCCACGATTCTCAGAGGTTTGGCAGTTATGTAATGATGTAATTTGGCAACTATGTAATGATGTAGTCATCCTCCATTTCGTGATCTCATGTGGTCATCCTCCATTTTCACATAATGCCAATTTTTGCATAACAACCTGGTCTTTGGAACCTAACCATGTCGATAAGTGAGGAGTGGGTGTATAATCTCAGAAGCTTCTTAATGCATCACCCTGCTGACTTTTACATTCACAAGAGTGCCCAGAAAGTTTAAAAAGGACTATCATAGAAATGCTAAAGCTCTTTACAATTGTTCTTCATATCCCTTAATCAAGCACTAATATTTTAGTGCATAAAGTCCCTGGGTGGCACAAATGGTTTGTGCTCAGCTATTAAACAAAAGGTTGGCAGTTCAAATCTACCCAATGGTGCTGTGGAAGAAAGGCCTGGTGATCTACTTTTGTAAGATAACAGCCATTGAAAACCACAGGGCGTGTAGTTCTATTCTGACATACACGAGGTCACCATGAGTCAGAATCAACTAGACGGCATTGGGTTTGTTTTTTTTATTTTTACTGTATGCTAGACACCGTGGTAATCTCATCTCATTCTCAAAACAACCTCACAGAGGTAGGTTCTATTTTCATCCCCATTTTTATGGATGAGGATACAAAGAGATGTGGTCACCTGGTCAAAGTGAGTATGGCGGCCAGAATGTGAACCCATCCCTGATGGGCTCCCAAGTCTGTGCTTAAAATCACAATGCTTGTGAAGGGAAATGAAGGACAGAGCAACAAAGGGATGGCACAGAGGGTTTGCCCTAAGTCTCTGGGTGGTACAAACGGTTAACATGCTTGGCTGCTAACAGAAAGACTGGAGGTTCAAGTCCACCAGGAGGTGCCTCAGAAAAAAGACTCGGCAATCTATTTCTGAAAACTCAGCCATTGAAAACCCTATGAAGCATAGTTCTACTCTGACACACATGGGGTCACCCTGAGTCAGAATTGACTCAATGCCAAATGGTAACTGGCGGTTAGCGGGGCATGCACTGAAAAACCAGCGCAAGTGACAGACTTTGGAAACTCCACTCCTCTGCAAAATGACAAGTCAAGGAGGGTAGTGGGGCCTGGATGTGAGATGTAGCTTCTCCTTCCAGCTCTGCTATCAGTTCAGCAGTGGGACCACAGGCAAGTCTGTCTCATGGCCCATTTCCCAGCTATGGAATGGGGGCACAGAACAGGATAGCCATTGAGGGCTTGCTTCCAGCCCTGGGATAATAGCTCTTTAAAACTGCTCCAGTTCGAGAGGACGGAAGCTGATCTGAGGAACAGGTTTCAGTCAAATAGGGTCAGTACTGGGCGGTAGTGCTCAGCTCTGAAGCCTGGAGCACATGAGAGGGTGGATAAGAAGAGGAGACGGAAGCTCTGGCAGGGTTGGGAGATCCTGATAAAACTGGGGACCCAGACTAGGGGGGCCTGGCAGGAATAGGGGATCTTAACAGGACTGGGGCAGCCTTAACAGGTTAAGGAGGCCAGATTGGTTTAGGAATCCTTGCGAGTAGAGGGAGTCACTAATAAGATCATGAGCCCAGACCAAAATTGAGGTTCCCTGACAGAACTGAGTTCTGACAAGAGGTTCTGATGAGGGAGGGGGGCAGCTATGGGCATTTAAGGATTGAGGAAACCCTGGCAGAATTAAAGAGCCTGATAATACCAGGAGACCCCGGCAAGGTAGAAAGATTGGGAAAGTCCTGGACAGATTCTGGGGCCCTGGCAGGAACACGGGGTCCTGATAAGACTGGCGAGCCTTAGCAGGCTCAGGGGCACAAACAGGACTGTGGGAGTTTTGGAAGGATTGGAGAGCCTGGAAAGAGTGGGGGATCCTGGCAGGTCCAGGTACCCGCATGATTAGTGGGCCCAGGATGAAGTATTTCTAGAAAGACTGGGGGGCCGTGGTAGGCCTGGGAGGCACTAAGAGGAAGGTACATTGACAGAATTCGGTGCCTTAACAAGATTGGGGAGACTTAGCAAACCTGGGCACAGTGACAGGACTGGGGGGCACTGGCAGGCCGGGGAACGTACTGACAAAATGGGGGGCGCTAACAGAATTGGAGCGTGCAGACAGAACTGTTGCCGAAAGGACTAGAAGCCCTGAGAGGCCCGTCGCCCTTCCCGCCCCAGGGCTTGGGCCTCCAACCCTCCAGTTGGTGGAAGCTTCCGAGTGACCACTCCGGACCCGGAAACCCCGACTAAGGCGTGAAAAGGCCGCCTCCGACCAGGTCAGGGGATCCCAGCCAGGCACTCTCCGGCCGCCCCGCCCCTCAAAGCTCACCTGACCGCCGCCGCGGCCCGCAAAAATCGCTGGATGGCCCTGTCGGCCGCAGTCATCGCCACCTCGGCCCGGGAGCTCAGCATAGC